AAGTGTCTAATTGATTAAGAATTTACTGTATATTCTGGCTTTAATCCTCTGATATAATTGCTATAATTATTTATTGGAGTTAAATTTATCTGTTTTTTTTTTAATGACTTTGGACTTACTTAAGGCTTTTCTTCCATCGTGAAACAACTTTTATGACTCTAATAAAAGTAAGTTAGTTCCACTTTGGAAAGTTTGTTTTTTTAAGGGAAATAATTTAAAATAATTATATTTAAAATAAATGGTATAATTTAAAATAACAAAGAAAGTGGACAGTTTCAATATATAGTATATTTTTTATAATTTTATTGCTATTTTACAAAATACCAAAACTGTTGTTATTGCTCTTTTAAACTTTTTATCTGAAAAAAAATCAGTGAAATAACTTTAAAAGATTCCTGTTTTTTAATTTTGCTTTACTTGTGGTTTATTATATTAATAATAATTATTAATTAATAATTACTAAATTAAAAGCTCAGTGATTTTTAAACAGTGACTTTTAAAATTCTTGAGTAAAACAAGCAAAACAAATATTTTAATGTTTTGTCTTTATGATTACTCATTTTAGGCCTTCCTGACATTTGTGATAGATTTTTGGAGAAATGGTTGAGGGAAGGTTACATTAAACATAAACCTGATCAAATGACCATAAATCAGTATGAACCTGGTCACGGTGAGTAGTTCTTGTTTAAAAATTGTAGTCATATATTTCGGAACTGAGTAGATGATGTAATTCTCTAAGAGCAAATATATTATTTTTAAGCTCAAATTAACTCTCTCATGCCTTGCTTATGTTTGTTACTTGTGTTGATTTCAATCCTTGCAAACCTACACTTTAATCCCTTGAAGAACTTGCATTTCAAAGTGTAAACACACTGACACAAATCACTGTTTGGGATTTTTTTGGTTTGTTTCCTTCTCAGCATTTCCTTTAGAGAGATAAGACATTGGTCTGAAAAACACAGGAGATGTGTAATGGAAGAAACCGAATAATTTATAGATAGAAGAAGGCTAATTGGTTGGATGATCATTCTCTTCTTTCTGTGTTTGAGAACATGGGAGACAATTACAGGATGACATTCTGGTGAAAAATCTTTAAGTTATTAATTTCTTATACTTGTTGGCAGCATCTTCATCTGATATTTATAGTAATCAAATGATTTTAAGCATTTTATTTTTTTATTTTTTTGGCTAAACAACAGAAATTAAAAAAAAAATACAGCGGCCGGGCGCGGTGGCTCACGCCTGTAATCCCAGCACTTTGGGAGGCCGAGGCGGGTGGATCACGAGGTAAAGAGATCGAGACCATCCTGGTCAACATGGTGAAACCCCGTCTCTACTAAAAATACAAAAAATTAGCTGGGCATGGTGGCGCGTGCCTGTAATCCCAGCTACTCAGGAGGCTGAGGCAGGAGAACTGCCTGAACCCAGGAGGCGGAGGTTGCGGTGAGCCGAGATCGCTCCATTGCACTCCAGCCTGGGTAACAAGAGCGAAACTCCGTCTCAAAAAAAAAAAACAAAGCCATAGCTCATATGAAGAAAAGAGAGAAAAAAAAATACAACAGAAATTAATTTTTTCACAGTATAGAGGCTGGGAAGTCCAAGATCAAGGTGCCGGTGGATTGGGTTCCTGGTGATGGCTCCCTTCCTGGCTTGTCATTGGCCACCTTCTCTCGGTGTCCGCACATGCCTTTTTCTGTGTGTGTGTGCATGTGCATGGAGAGAGAGAGAGCCTCTACTTAAAAGATTAGGGCCCCACACTTAATGACCTCTTTAATTTAAGGGTTTTATTATAGAGTTTTGTTTTCTTTTCTACATTTATTACAATGTAGACTGATGGCTTTAGATTTGTAGCCAAGTGGATTTGTGAATACTACACCTCTGAATTAGAGAGACATGCTGACCTGGCCTCTGGCACAGCAAGACATCTGGAGCTGAGGCCCAGGCCGATCCTGCAGAGTGCAGAGGCTGGGGCCACTCTTAAAGAGGCAGAGGCTGCTCCTATAGGATGAAACGTGGAGGAGTATGTGTTAGCTCCTAGAAACCAGCTAGCTCTTAAAATGAGAGGGAAGGGCTGAGCCAAGTGAGCTTGACCCCAGATTAACTAGTCAGCTAAGGCATTTCTTCTTTACCTTTCTAGCCTAGCTGTCTTTCCATTGGTTTGTAAGCTCTTTGAAAATAGGGACCCTCTTACTTGCTTTGTATACCCTCACTGTGTGGCAACATTTCTTTTACTTAAGAGGTGCTCAATAATGTAAATTAATGGATCAGTGGAGAAGGCCATATCGTAATTATTGATATGCCTAGTCTTTATACCTGGTTATTGCTTTTGTTCTGCAAGTAGTTGGGAACCCAGTGTTCGAGGGTAAAAATGACTTTTGTATTTGTGTTTTACATTTTTCTCTTGGGCTAGAATTGTGTTAAGTGTCCTAGTTAATCAGTGGCTCCTGAGCCTTGATTTTCGATCAAACCCCAATGGCACTTCCACTTCAGGTATTTTTAGTTTGTATTTATTTTAATATATGCTAGTCACATTCACTCTAAATGTTTCCTTTTAAGCAAAATTATAGTACCTTCCTGATTATCAAGCAGTTTTTTCACCACAATAGCATAAGTCTATACTTACAGCCATCTTAAATCTACTAAAAGGAAAAATGAAGTGACGTGTTGTCCTGTTTTCCATCTCAGGAATTCCCGCTCATATTGACACGCATTCTGCTTTTGAGGATGAGATCATTTCTCTCAGTTTGGGGTCAGAGGTAAATGTTCATTTTTATTAGTTATTATCATGCATCTTACCTTGTACAATGCCCTTTTCAAAGATTATCTGCATTCTTAATGAAAATGAATTAAGATTTAAAAATGAAAAATAAGGGCACCATTAACACTTTGGTTTCTTTTTAGTGTCCTCTTCTTTTAAATGTCCAAAGTTTTATCTGTCACCTCATCAGATGCCAGGAAACAACTTGAAATTTAATTTTTTACACCAACTTTTAGCAGTTAAACAACATCTAGAGTCTCCTTGCTGCAATTTGGCCTGTTTTTTTGACCTACTGGTGCAGCATTGCCATCTAGTGGCAAAAGATAGTAACTGCAGGCCATAGAAAAGGGAAACAAAATTCTGTGTTCTGAATTTTGATGAACTTTTTCCATGTATTACCTGATTCAGTCCCTTCAAAAACTCTGAGCAGTAGAGGGTAATATCTTCATTTTTATAGATGAAGAAAAAGAGACTCATGTTTATTCATTAATTTGTTTCTGTAGCTGCACTTTGCTTGAGCCACTAAAAGAAAATATTACATGTGATTTGAAGTGATCCATGCAACCTACAGACAGATTTTTGGATTGAAATCAGAATTTTAAATCTAGACGAGTCCTTAAAATATGAGGTCATCTAATCTAACTAGAGGCTGTATCAAATTCTGATTTTGTTCCTGGAGGCAAAAACTATTCATTTTTGTTTTTTCATATTTGTATAAATTCCATCATTAGATCTTCAGTGCTTTGGCTTCTTAACCTTTCCAGAGCTTGTATAATCATGTTGACACTATGACTTGATAATTAGTGCTGTTTGCTATGACAAAACCGTCTTATTAACTATGTGTATAAGTACTAAATACAGGTGCTTTCAAAAATAACGAGATCAGGGAGGAAAAAGCACTCCTCTCTCTGGTTGCTTTTTTATTTTTGTCACCTATCCTTGCTTGTAGCTTTAGGGACTAGTAAAGGACATCTTCACTTTTTCCTCCTAACTGTGTAACCAACTGAGAAATGAGACAAAAGATAATTGGAGACTAGAGTGTTAACTTTACTACTGAGAAAACTGATGGCAGAACATGAGTTTAGATCTGTAGCCAAGTGAACTTGTTAATACTTCACCCCTGAATTAAAGACACATGCTGACCTTGTCACTGGCATAGCTGGAGAACTGCAGACCTTCCCCATAGAAGCAGAGGCTGTGCCTGTGAAGGAGCTCCTCTAACAGGACATGTGTTAGCTCCTGCAAACCAGCTGGCTCTGAAAACGAGAGGAAAGGGCTGAGCCAAGTGAGCTTGGCTTCAGAGTAACCAATAAACAAAGGTATGCCTTCTTTTCTGGAGAGTTGTAAGTGAAGGGTTGGGAAGAAAACTAGAAGTGTGCTTTGTACTTTTTATTCCTAGGGAAGTTCCCTCCCTTCCCAGGGAAATATGAGAAATGTGGACTCAGTATCCCCCCTCCCCCTAGTGCCCTAGAAGATCATTTCACAGTTTTTAAATAGAAATACTGAAGAAGGGAAAATTTGCCCTTTAGTTGAACTGAAAATCTGCTGCATTCCTTATCTCCATTTGGTGTCTCTATAATTTTCAGCTGCCAATTTGAATGACTTTTGGTTAAAGCCATCTTTGTAATGGCTGGAAAGTGTGCATAAGTTATGACAGGAACAGCAGATTTTTTTTTTTTTTTTTTTGAGATGGAGTCTCGCTCTTTTGCCCAGGCTGGAGTGCGATGGCATGATCTCAGTTCACTGCAACCTCTGCCTCCCCAGTTCAAGTGATTCTCCTGCCTCAGCCTGCTGAGTAGCCGGAATTACAGGCATGTGCCACCACACCTGGCTAATGCATTTTCAGTAGAGACGGGGTTTCACAATGTTAGCCAGGATGGTATCAATCTCCTGACCTCATGATGCACCCCCCTTGGACTTGCAAAGTGCTGGGGTTACAGGTGTGAGCCACTGTGCCTGACTTGATTTTCTTTTAAAAGACACCTTGGAGAGTAAATGAATCATTGTAATTTTGAAAAAAAAGTTTTTTTGATTACTTGAGCATATTCTTAAAACTCTTATAAGTTTCAGTTTATAATGTTTATTTCAGCTTATAATGTGATTTAAAACAGTCTACTAAATTTGGGCCTTTATTTCATCTCTAAAATGGGATTAATAATATTTCTTTCCTGGCTGAAGGATGTGATAGAAATAAAATGAGGTAATGTATGTGAAAGTGTTTTTCAAACTTTTTTTTTTTTTTGAGTGACAAAAAGTTTATTCTGTGCTTCTCACAGCGTCAGGCAGGGGATAAAACTGGAGAGGGCCTGGTTTGAAGGTGGAGGAACTCTGGGGGCTTCATTCTGGTAGGAGGAGAGCATCGAGGCAGGCCTTTAGGCTGTTGTTCTGGGTGGAGGGGATGGGGGCTTACAGTCGGGGGGATGGGGGCTTACAGTGGGAGCCCTCAGGTGGCACAGGTTCGGAAGGGCCCCAGGCAGATGTTAATTCTGCTGAGACATGAGGTAGGTTGCTTCAGCCAGCCCGGGCGGAGAAGAAGGGCAGAGAGCGAACATAGGAGTCCAGTCGGGAGCGAAAGAGCTCACTTTGCACAGTTTGGCCCAGGGGGCACAGGGGATTCTTCACCACCAGCTCCACATACAGCGCACTGTAGATGTGATGCAGCACATCTCGGATGGGTCCCACGCCCAAGTCAGTATTCATGACAACTTTGATCCCAGTGGGCGTCTCGTAGTAATGGAGTTTGTAACGGCTAGTTTGAAAGGCCAAGAAGCCATCCTTCATGTCTAGCGGGGACATCTTGCTGACAAAGGAGCGGATAGAGAAGAGCATCCCGTACATCAGCTTGTACTCCTCCTCCTTGGGAATCCCTGCTTGCTTCTTGCGGTGCCATTTGCTGTAGTGCAATCCATGAGTGTATCTGTTCTAAGATATGCTCCTTGAGCTGTATCTGTTCTAAGGCTCCTTACTTAAAGCCTTTGCTTCCGTAACAGAAGGAAGCTCATGTTCCCACAACCTAGAAGTGGGGTTTCAAGGGGTCATGAAAAAGATGGCTTTCTACACTTGCAACTTGTGCTGCTCTGATTTATTTATTTATCGATGCTGTGTAATTACTTGAATTTCCTCCTAGCACCTTGATCCACACCTAGAATCTGAGTGCTATACCTTTGGCCCTATTTCCTTATTTTCTCATCTTTGACATCCTCAGTTGTTTTAAGCTGCCCATGGTAGCTTCCATTTTACTGTAATAATTTTGTCAGTGACGTTATTGTTTTGTTTTTTGTAATGCCTTTTTGTTTTATTTGACTTAAATATAACGTCAAAGACTCAGCTAAAGTCTTTGATGTTATTTTTAATTCTTTACTTTTCTTTTCCAGGAAATTTCCAAGATCTTTTTTAACTCTTAAATGTTCCAACTCATGTTATTCCCATGAGGCATTCTTAACTTTAATATAAATCTTAAATGCTTTATTATTTAAATACTTTATTTTTATGACTATTGGAGCATATTCTTCTTAAAACTCATAGTATGTCTAAAAATAGTGTACATTTTATATTAAGCAAAAATAGTCTTGATTTTTTTCAAATATATTAGTTTTCTTTCTACAGCTAAGTTGTGATTTTCTTTAAGGCTTTGTACCTTCGAAATATGTACGATATGTGTGTAAGTAAGGATGCTTTTAGCTGCAAGTAATAGCAGAAACCCCAAATAAAAATGATTACATAGAAAAACAAGTTACTATCTCATATAACAAGGTGTCTCAAGGAAGGCTAGTTCCAAAAGTTTTAACTTGTTGGCTCAGGTCAGCGATTTAATCAAGGAACCAGCCAGTTTCTTTCCATCTCAAATACTCAGTGCTCCCCTAACCAAGGATGAGCTTACGGAACTATCTAAGGAGTAGGCTGCATCGGGATATGGGACAATAACATACACCTGTGAAGTCTACAAGGCTTATGTTTTTAGATAATCCTTCACTGATAGGTTTGTGCTGCTGTAAATTGCAACCTGCCCTTGCTGGCCAGGCATGTTTTGAGAGATGCCCTTGCTATAACCTTTTATGATAATAAACTAGTAATGTTGTTGGGCAGATACTCAATTCATCAAATACTGAATTGATCAAAGAATTGATCAGCTGACAATGAAAATAGCTATTTAATGTGCATCTCCCTGAAACCACTACCTAACTTCTATTATAAATAAGAAAAAAACTTTTGATGAGGACCTATCTGGGAAAATGAAACTAAAATTTATGAAGATAGTTTTTAAAGAAAAATTTTATTTAACAATGTTTAGATTATATTATAACTATGTACAGATTTTTCAACAAAGAATGAGTTACATTAACTTTGTTTTGGTTTTGTTTTTCTTATAAAATATGACAGCATGATAAAAATTCCTTTATTTGACTTTTACAGCTTGACTATAAAGAGTGCATCACTGTTGTGTTATTTTTCTCTTCATTGTAAAAGTCCTGACTCTGCCAGATTTTCAAATGTTAAATGAATTTGCATGTGATTTAAATGGTTCTCTGATATCCCTTTTATCAGCTTCAGGAAGTCCATCTTTTTCGAGAATTGCAGTTGCAGTGAGTTTTGCATTTGCATTGCACTGGCTAATATTTATATCATCAACATTCACTAAGAGACTGACCAAAGGGATTAGTCATGATGGGCAGAGAGAGCTGCTAATATTGAAGAGAGAGAGATATTTGGGCAAGCATTAATTTTATGGAAGTTCGTTCATCAGTAAACATTTCTTATTATAATGACGTTTGCAACTCAGTGGGTGCGGATAATTGGATAGTTGGATAGTGAAGACCCATCTGCTGAATGTCTTGCTATAGAGGGCCACATCTTTCACTCTTTCCAGGGTCATGGTTTCAGCAAATACCTATCGAGTCCAGCCTGATCTCCTGTCATAGGGTACTGAGTAAAAATTATTTATGCGTTGTTTGAAGTACCTGGCTAAATGAGTTTTTTTGGGTCATTGTTTTTGTTTTGTTTTCCCAGTCTGGTCAATCAGAATGACTCGTAGGGTACTTTTATTCTAAGAGTTTCTTGTTTTAATAGACAAATGTTTTATTATTTTCAGATCTTTAGCACAAACTGGAAAAAACACCCAGACATTTTCTTTATACTACTTAAAACAACAATACAGTTTGGACTACAGTCGTACTGACTTCATCTCCAACCTCAAATTCAGCCCTCAGTATTTGCCTATATAAGCAATGTTTACAGCCTGAGAAGCCAAATAACCTCTTCTAGTTTTTATCTTATCCAGGCTCCACACTTCGTTCTTGTCTGAGAGTCCTTGGAATGTTTGCATTTCCTGAAGTTCTGAAGAATGAATTGTCCCTGCTGTGTAGCTCCTCTCTCCTTTCTCTCGTTCTTTATAGCTTATCTGAGAATTTTTTTTTTCTCTCTGTAGTGCCCTTGGCATTAAAAAGATCTGTCATCCTGGTGCGTGTATGTTTCTCCTTCTCTCCCTCTCCCTCTCTCTCTCTCTCTCTCCCTCTCTCTTTCTCTCTCACTCACTCACTGTGTGTGTGTGGTTTGTATCTAAAGCCATGACTTCTATATGGCTGTATATGTATATTAATGTAGATAGGAAAAAGAGCATAATTCTCACGTGGGATATTTAGTTGCATCACAGTATAATTAAAGTGGCATTGGGCCAGTCTTCATTTTGCCTTTTATCCTATGTATCTTTAACATTCAAAACTTCTGGAATAGACAAGTAGATCTACTGGTTTGTGGGTCAGAAATAAATAAACGCTCTACCTTGTTTGATCATGTCAGCTTTTATGCATTGAATTCTATTTTCACTTAGAAGCACTTTCCCTAGTAACTTGTGTTCTGAAGATTCTATTTTTGTGTAATTTTCTCATCTTTCAGGATTTCTTGGAAGCCAGCATTCCCTTTTGCATAAATTGGGCAAATAAGACTCAGTGCTGACAGTTCTTAACATGTACTCTTTATCTTCTTACGGTTGAGTAGAAGCTCCTTTATTTAAGCCCCTTCAGTAAGGATAATGGCAAAGAAATATACCTGTTTCAGCCAGCAGTCTGCTAACAGAGTCTGTTTCATGGCATGACGTCATAAAATAGAACATTCTGCTGTATTTGGAGCCTTTAGAGTATCGATTCTTCTGTCTTTTCAGTTAGAACTATGTGCATTTACTTTGAAGCAAGAAAGCAGCATTATATCACTCTAGCTAGATTGCAGAATTAGAATAAAATTTAGAAAAATCAATGGAGTTCAGAAAACTAGAGTGGAAGCCCACTTAGGTTATGTAGTTGAAACTACCAGTTGGCTGCACTTAAATTAGGGAATAATAATTATAAAAGATACATGTATACCGCAGACATTTTAACTTAACACGTACAGGTTCACTCATCATTTTGTGGTGGGGCTAAGGTCTTTGTTTCTGTGAGGGACCATAGTCTGCTTTGTCTTTCCAGTTTCATTTCTTTAAAGCGAGGCAAACATTTAAAGACATTCATGAAACCATCTAAGTGTGGGGTTTTACATTTTGATGTTTTTATTTCCAATATTTTATTATCAAATTTTCACATATGTTGTAACATTATATTTATTTTTTTTACCTTTACTGAATCATTCTACAATATTCAACTGGGTTTCTATAGAAAAAGGCTGTCTTTTCTCAATTTTCATTCATTTATATAATATTAAATAATTACAATGATAAGGGTAACTGGCACGGAGATTTGGTAACATACACAATTTGACTTGTTAAGCATATAGCTCTATTGGTGAGAATAGAAATGCATGAACATATTGGAGAATTGTCTATCATGAACAAATATTCAGGGATGAGTATGCATTATAGAAGGAGTGGAGCATGTTGGTTGGTTAAATGGATGGTGGTTAAAAGAGCTTCACTATGTGACCAGCATTGTCCTGGGCATTCTGGGGGATACAGAAATACTTTCAACCTTGATTTTTTCCCCCTTAGGTATTAGACCTGAATACCCCACATTCTAAAAGGCATTTTAATTTGCCCAGATCAGAGATCATCATTTTTGTTTTCAGCCATTCACCTCCCAATGTCATTCTCCCATACACAACAAAATCTTTGCTCTCTCTGGGTTTCCTGGTCTGGTTAATGACCACACTGTCTACCAGTTGATCAATTCAGATCATGGCAAATATTCCTTTTTTTTTTTTTTTTTGGATACAGGGTCTTGTCCGTCCCCCAGGCTGGAGTGCAGTGGCACACCCATGGCTCAATGTAGCCTTGACCTCCCAGGCTCGAGCGACCCACCCACCTTAGCTGTCCCAGTAGCTGGGACTGCAGGCCCGAGCCACCACACCCAGCTAATTTTTGTATTTTTTGTAGAAACAGGGTTTCACCATGTTGCCCAAGCTGGTGTTAAACTCCTAGGCTCAAGCAGTCTGCCCTACCTTGGCCTCCCAAGGTGCTAGGATTTTAGGCATGAGCTACCACACCTGGCTGGTGTCAAATATTCTTGACATGTAATTCTATGATAATAAATTTTGCTTCTAAGTAATTCTTTATTGCATCCCATGTTTTCTGTTAAAAACTGCTTTGTGGAGATGTAATTGGAATACCATGAGCTGCACGTACCTAATAAGTGCTCATGAAACCTTCACCATGCTCAAGATAATGAACATATCCATCATTCCCAAAAGTCTCCTCATGCACTAAGTTTTCCTCATGCACTAAAGATTTCATTTACTTTTTTGTGGCTTATGTTATTGCTCTTGTTACATTTGAGGGTGACTTTCGTTTATTTCTCTAGGTTCTTAAGATTTTTTTCTTTTATCTTTTATTGTGTTTTTATGATCCTGCTTATTCTGCTTATTTTGATGGGCTTGTTTATTCCACTTGGGAATTACTGGGTTTCTTGAATCTGTAGAT